GAAGAGAAATAAGGAACTAAAGAGCAAACACGTGTTAAATAGTCACATGTGGATCCAAGTATAACTATAAAGTACACATTTCTTAGCTTGTTGCACAATTTGTATCATCTACATATGATAAACAATGACATGCTAATCTTATATATCAAAACTGAAACATCTGCTATATCACTCTTCTAAGTAAGAGTAATTATTTTGGTTGTATTACATTAGTTAGTATTTGCAGATCGTTCAAGTTGGCATCATACTGATGTCTGTTGTACATATTCTAAATATTTCTAATAGTATATAATATATGATATTATCCATCTTCTGCAAAAGGTATCACCCTTGATTCATTAGTATTAATATTTTTACAAACATAATATTTTGACTATTGGGCCCGTGCTTGCCACGAGCCTCCCCCATCTAGTATATATATATACTAGACACGAGGATGAGAACAAAGAGCTGTGTTTGTTTGTAAACTCTCCTGGGGCTGGGTAATACCTGGGATCGCTATCTATGATAGTCGTGTTAGCACGCGTCCAATAACATATGATTTTAAAATACTTTAAGTGGTTAATTATTGTAATTTATTAGTATTTTTTACATTTTTAAAATAATATATATTACTTCCCTTGTCACAATATAGGCTCCCCAAATATATGCTAACACAAATAGAATTTCAAGAGTCAATATGTTGTTAATAACAATATTTTTTTACTTAGTTTCCAATTAAATAATACATGTTACCTCTTTTGTCTCATTTTGTGACATAGAAAGATTAATTTTATGAATCAATCAATTTTTTTTTATAAGCAAACAAATTTTTTTATGTTTTTTCTAAAATATTTTACGTTGTCAATTATCGTGATTTATAGTATTTTTAAAGCAATTTTTAGATATATAAAAAAATTAAAAATAAAACAGATGAAAAAAATAGAGAAGTGTATATGTTGTGGAATAACACAGGTGAAGCAAGCATGTTGACTGTCACTTGTGTGGTTATCCACACTTATATATAAGTAGCGGAAAAAAGATAAGAAAATGTATATGCAAGTGTTAAAATCACACAGATGAAGCAGACATGTTGACCGTCACGTGGTTATCCACTTTTATATATAAGGAGTGGAAGTGGATATATGAGTTTGAAAAGAAGAAGTATTTTTTTTTGGTAATAAAATGTGAAGAAGACGTATTTTGAGTAATTGGATTTCTCATCTTAAATCCAAAAATTAATGGCCCATTTCAATTAATTTGTTTGATTTTATTTAATTATATATATGATTTTAAATTTTAAATGTATAAAATATGTTTAGTTTTTTAGTCTTAAATGTATCATATAAAAAAATAAATTTAAAAATTAACAAAAAAAAAAAAGAAGAGAAAATAAACAAATTGAAACGGATAAAGTATTTTGAGTAATAGTTCATAAATAAAATGTTGAAATGTCTTAAAATATTGCATTGATAAATCACATATTTATATATATATTTTCATAAATAAATATTTACAATCACAAACTCTTAAATACACATCATTTTATGGAGATCATTACTCAATTATAGCAATAACTATTTATTTTTGTATTACTTTACTATATATATATATATATATATATAATAAGTGGGAATATCTACTACTTAGCACATGATAAGTGTTGGATGATATGTGTTTGATAGTGTTGTACATTCTTCTTTTATGGTTGTACCTTTAAAATTTATATTATTGGACAATTTAACACCATTAATTACCTACTACTTTATTAGCAAAAAAGTTTGACCTCATTTGGGCCCATTTATTATTTATATGTTTTCAATTTTCAATATATGTTCTCTATCTAATTCTTTTTTTCAACCTTTTATTTTAAACTTCTTGAAATTTAATTACCTATTTATTACTCTCTATGCACTTTTAATTGTTAAGATTTCCTTTTAAGAGTCAAACTATAAGAATTTTAACTAATATTTTACAATGTGTTTTTTCATCATATTCATAGGCAAAAAATTACAATTTATAGTACTTTTTGTATAGATTTTGCATATTTAATTTTTTTAAAA